AACAAGCCGATCTTGTTAAGCTTGCTTCGGAGCATGGTGTCGTCGACCTACTGCCATGGACTGTGAAGAAGCCTGGCGAGAAGGAAAGGCGGCGGGTAGAAAGAGGATTGCAAGTCAAGGGCACGGGCGAGGGACAGAAGGTCAAGGGAAAGCTTTGGGAGCGAACACTGAAGGGACGCTTGGAGATGAGGAGACAGGCCATGTTGAACATGCCGGCTTTGATCCAGGAATGGAAGCAGAAGGGGCACGGAAGAGGTTGGAAGAAGTGGCCCAGTGGAAAGGCGAAGAAATAGAGTATCCCGCTCAAATGTACATTATTGTGGACACTGTTCTCTTCATCCATGTAACGAGGTTAAGACATGGCTCGATTGGTGTATCACAAAGTAGTGATGTCTGGGTATCCTACTGACTGAACTATCTCATCCTTGACAGACCTCCCACGTTACTGTTCGTGTGTACAACTAGTTCTGGGTATAATATAGGAAATTCAATATGCACATATGCATGCACACGCTTAACAATCCATCCTGAGCTATCCTCGAGGCCCGGCATAACGAGAAGACGCTTCACATGACCATCTCCTCGTCGCCATAACCACCCTGCAGCCCATACTCTCGTGCATATGCGTATGCTCCGTAAGTGTTCTCCATGTCAGCTACGCTGCCCACATTCTTCTGCCAGAGGCCGTTGCTGCCAGTGTTGTTGTAGACTGGGTCGGTGGCCTGGTTGTACTTGGTCGATTCCTTCATCGCATTTTCGCCTCTGCATGACTCTTCGTATTCGCGTCTAGCCATCATCTCGTAGCCTGATGCCATGTATGGTTCAGCGCTTGCTGCTGCCATGCTCTGATCCAACTGCTGCTGGTGCTGCTGGATAGCCTCTTGCTGGGCGGACTCCTCTTGTTGTCTCTCGTATCTCAGCTTAGCCATGGCTTCCTCCTGTGCGAGACTGGTGGGTGGCCAGTCGTAAAGCTGTCGGGACATGTTGTAGTCTACGCCCGCTGGGTGTCCTTGACGACCTGATGGAGGTGATATGCGCCAGAGCTCGAGGAGACGTAGCCGTTGATCGTCGTCTGCATTCTGGAAGAGATCGATCTGGGAAGGGAACAGAAGAGAAGGATCAATACTGTTCCTCAAAAGTACGGCAGCGAGGTCCGGAGATTCGATGTGTGTCTTCAAGGCTGGCTCGGAGGTACTGCGGGTAGGTACATGATATGAATGAGTGTAGTGTTGAGAAGCGTAGACGATCTGCTTGGGAGCCTCTTCCTGCTGTTGCTGTTGTTGCACTGGTTGTTCCTGTTGCATCTGTGGTTGCATGGGCTGCGGGTTGCCTTGAGACAAGTTCATGTTGGCTGAGAACAGCCGAGTAAGTTCATCTTGCTGCATGTTTGCGTCTTCTGCTGCTTTCCCCTGAACGTTGATGCCCGTAGATATTGTGCCGCACTATGACGTAACGTTAGTGTTTACCAGCGCCGAAGACGAACGAGCTTACATTTGCGCAAGAAATGTTCTGAGAAAAGGCGTAAGGACTGAATGAGATGGGCGTGTCGTGAGTGCAGTCGCAGTGGTGCAGGAGCATGGGCTGCATGTCCTCTAGGGTCTCAACAGCAAGCGGATGAGGGGCAAGTTCTGGAAAACGGAGGTTCAAGTATTGTATTAGGCGGGAAGTCGACAAAGGCGCATACAGTGATGGACTATATCGTTGAAAGACCTTGTAGACTCGAGCTCAGAATTCGTCGTTGGCTAGTATATGGAAACTTGGAATCGTACTTGTCCGCGCTTGCGTTGGGCGCTGACGACAATCGGCGGGGGATGACAAAGGGTGCCTTTGTGAGTCAAGAACAAACGGAAAGGGATTCAAATATACTTGAACCAAGTCAGCAGTGAAGAGGGGGCAGGAAGAAAATTAGCAGCAGCGTGATGGTGGTTCTTTTATGTACCGTTGAGTATAGCGTGCTGTCGGGGTCATGCGTGTAGGCGGGATGATTCTGATAATTTTGTCGCCCACATCCAATTAGTGACGAAGCTGAAACCCAACCTGTCCGGCTAGTCTGCTGGCAGCCAATGATGTGTCTTGAGAGCTTGCAAATAGTGGTCGATTTGGGACGACAACTCATCAAATGTGTATGGGCGTATGCACTTTTGGATGTGAGGTGCGGGCAATTGGAGGCCCAGACGGAAGAAGCCGGGACAGCAGGCAGCGAACACACCAGTAGAGCGCCAGCAACGAGGAGTCGGATCGCACCAACAGTCCTGGGCGAAGCAAGGAAGATCGAGAGTTGCACTGCTCGCGAGTTGCTGCTCACGTACGCGGGTTGATGCCTCTAGGTGTCGGCCTTGGCACGCACGCGCGCTAGTGAGCTACCTGGAGCTTGCGCAGATACACCATTGCCTAGAATCATCAACACCGAGACACACGACTGCCAACCCTTGATAATCCCGTAATCGCTTCCCGGGAATCTGCGGTCCATTTGATCGCTCGGAATAAACAAAGCGCCCTTCTCAGTCTCCACACCGCCCACCATGGTAAACACCCCACCGTAACAGCTGAAGCACCCCAGTCGATCTAACCATGGCGTAGACGTCAATAGGCACAGGTTACGATCTGTCCAACTCGGTCTTCTCGCCCGACGGTCGAAACTTCCAGGTCGAATACGCGGTTAAGGCAGTAGAGAATGGTGGCACAGCGGTCGGCATCAAGTGCAAGGATGGCGTCGTACTCGCTCTGGAGAAGCTCGTCAGCAGCAAGTTGCTCAAGCCCGGCGCGAACAAGCGGATAGCAACTGTGGACCGCAACATGGGCATTGTGTCTTCCGGTCTCCTCCCCGATGGTCGCCACTTCGTCTCCCGCGCCCGCGACGAGGCAGCCCAATGGCGGCAGCTTTACAAGGCACCCATCCCCTCCTCGTCTCTCGCCGACCGTATGGGAAGCTATGCCCAAGCGTATACCCTCTACTCGAGTGTCCGTCCTTTCGGTATAACTGCAATCCTTGCAGGCTGGGATTCCGAGGCCGAGCTACCAGTAGATGGTCAAGTTGGTTCAGGGCCTACTGTTGGCTCGGGAGGCAAGAAAGAAGGCGCAAAGCATGGTGGGCCATCGCTTTACATGATTGAGCCCAGCGGTCTATACTGGGTATGGAGACCTTGGTGACCTAAACTTGTCCAACAACTAACGTGCACAGGGCTACTACGGTGCCGCTACAGGCAAGGGCCGCCAGGTCGCCAAGTCAGAGCTCGAGAAACTCAACCTCTCCGAGGGAAATCTATCACTAGAGGAGGGTGTCAAGGAGGCAGCACGCATCATCTACGTCGCACACGATGACAACAAAGACAAGGAGTTTGAGCTTGAGATGACATGGATCAGCAGTCTCGACGGTCCTACCAAGGGCAGGCACGAGGAAGTGCCCAAGGACATCCGGGAAGAAGCTGAGAAGCTGGCAAAGAAGGCGCTGGAAGGAGACGACGATGATGACGAGGAGGAGGAGAAAATGGAAGAGTAGACGACGACTGCATAACACCGCGTAGACGGTCTATATGCATAACGAGCGGCTCTCACTGCCTTTCACGATCAATGAACAACATTTACGAAAGTCAAGCACTAGCACTATCATCTTCTTGTTCGGCCCGCTTCTCAAGCTTGCTTCGTCGCTCCTGCCAATTCTGGATTGACAGTTGACTGCGTCATCGACGATTCCAGATTCGCCATGCAGGTACATCCGCCCCACTAGCGCGTCACCCTGCAATCCGATTTTGAAAACCATTCAACAATTCCATCCATAAGTATCTTACGTCACGCGTCTATCCCACCATCCAAATACACTCTTCTTATCCAATTGTAATATATCATCATGCCGCCAACACTCATACTCATTCGCCACGCTCAGGCACAACACAATGCCACCAGCGACTGGTCTATCAGGGACCCTCCTCTCACTGAGCTGGGCGAGCAGCAATGTCGCGAGCTACATGAGAGTCTGAAAGAAAGCAAGATCGGCAATGAAGTTGAACTCATCGTTGTCAGCGCTCAAAGGCGGACGCTCCAGACTGCCACTATCGGGCTGGACTGGCTTATCAAGAAAGGCACCAAGGGTAAGAGCAATGTCACCGAGCAAGACAAGTTATGTATATGTTACTAATACTGATATTCACTGCAGTGATCCCTGACGCGAACTGGCAAGAAAACGCAGACAAGCCGTGTGACACTGGAACACCCATCGATGAGATCTCCAAGGAATTCCCTCAGTACGACTTCTCCGTCGTAGACCCTTCGTTCCCAGACAAGACAACTGGCGGATCCAAGAACCCGTACGCTTTCACCGAAAAGGCTATCCTAGCACGTGGACAGAGGTGTCTCAAGGACCTCTATTCCCGCCCCGAGAAAGTCATTGCTGTTGTCTCGCATTCGGGTTTCCTGCGCACAGGTGTATGCAACCGCATGTTCTTCAACGCCGACTGGCGTGTGTTTGAGTTCGACGATGAGGAGATGAAGAAGAATCCCGGGTTCTTTGTGTTGAAGGAGAGCGAGGAGACGGAGAAGAAGGGTGGCGGTATGGGTCGCAGTGATGTTGGTGTCTTTGGTATCGTACCTGGTGACTTCCCACCTGAGGTTGAGGAGGAGATCGCTACGAATAAGGCGCAAGTTGATGATGAGGCTACTAAGCAGAACCCGAGTGCTTGAGCTGGGTGATTTGTAGTTAGATCTGAGAGTCGTGTTTTGCTGGACTATATGGCAGTGGAAATTTGCGATCACTTAGAGGATAGACATTGCGTAGACCATAGAATTGAGTGAATGTCAATGAAGACTATCAATCCATATGCACTAATGTGGTCTGAGCATATTTGATGCCTTCATATGCATGAGCATGGTGCTCTTGTGTAATACCAAGTGGCACATAGAGCGCCCACATCAGGCCCCTCGGAATACCTGTTCAACCCCCCGAGCCTTTCTTTGGCCGGCCGTCTCAACACCCGGTATGGCCATGCTTTTGGGAACCATCCTTATCAACCCGCCCAAGAGACTGGGAGATAGGGTCGGTACTGTGCATGCCTCCCATCGTACGCTTCTCTGAACCCAGACATAGCCGCTTCTTCTGTCGCCCCTGTGATCGCGAGACCGATAGCCTGCCCAAAGAGCAGATACAGCTCCCTTTTTGCCTGGTCCAGTCCTTGGAGACCAGCAAACGACGCATACTCGATGTAAAGATGCTGGAACTTGACCTTGACGATCTCGAGACCTGGCTGTCGTTGACCAAGCGGTAGTGGCTCCACAGTCCGGCGTGCGGCTTTCCTTGGGGACGCTAACCGACGAAACTGAAGCAGAGGTGTAATCCATTTCTCGCGTAGGTTGACCTGTCGACGGTTATGGTGAAGCTCTACACAGACCTCAAGTTCGCGTAAGCCAGTGAGCTGTTTCGAGGCGGCCTCGCAAGCTCGCTGCCTGAGAGTGAACATGGCGTTAGTTACTTCTGCGCGTAGCATACCGGACACCGTCCAAGTCCGTCACTATCGCAACCATACTTACCAACTTTGATGATGCTTCTCTTGCCAAATCACGTCCACGGTCTTGTTTGGATTTCCATAAGTGCTGTAGTGGAGATGTAACCTGGTGATGCTTCCCAAGTGGATGGACGAGGCATATTTGAAGAAGTTTGTCATCCGCTTTGGCGCGTCGAAGACAAAAGTCGTGTTTTGGTAGAGCAACTTCGCTGTCTCTGCGTAGACTTGCTTGCAAACAAGACTTAGAGCACATAGCGAGCCCGCCCAGTTCGTTCGCAGGCCCTGAACAGCGTTGTATTTGCCAAGTGATCTCGAGAAGCGAATCACGACAGGAGGAGTCGCGTTTATCTCAGGATCAGACGCAGGAGTCGTGCTCTTTGTAGCAATTACATTTGATGACAACTTGACAGTCTGTGGCTGCCGCTGCGTGAATTTGGATCCTTTGCTGGCGATCTCACAGCGACGCTCCGAGTCGAAGTAGTAGCCGTATATTTGGTTTCTGATCTCACCGGGTAAGGCGAGGAAGCCGCGCATCTTCTTGGGCGGAGACCTTCTCGGCTTGTGAGCGCGAGAGAAGAGACTGGTACCAGTCATGACCGCCGGGCTGACAAGCTTGGAAGCTTGTAAGACAATGTGTTGCTGTGCTAGTGAATTAGCCGGAAATGTTTGTTAGCAAATATCAAGATGCCACCGAGCTGGTGGTGGTCTGTGTCTGTATTGGAACCATGGAACATTGGAGGTGGAGCCTGGGTGCCTGGGCCCTGATATCGTACGTGGACGCTAGTCGCGTTTGGGCTAGTGTTCAGAGCAACTGCGGGCAGCCACGACAGTCGCCCCTGCTGCATACCGCCATGTTAACCATCATGTCTTCGCTAATCTCGCGCCAACGTATCCTCCTTCGCCAGCCTCAATTTCTTGCAGCTCGCGCCTTCTCCTCCTCCAGGATAAACGCATCTCGCCTCCGTCAACCCGGCGAACCAACCGGCCCGAACGAAGTGAGTAGAGATCATACAAAATATATGCGACACATACACTGACCCTCTTATCTCAACCTCTGCAGCCTCCGACACACATCCGAACACCTCCCTCGAAATCCCCACTCAAAGTCTGGCCCATCCTCGCGATATTGGGACTAGGCACATACCTGTTCAACGCGATAATTGATCAGCGAAAAGGCGAGGGATACCAACCAAAAGGACCTATTCAAGGCCATTCCCCCAGCGGCAAAGGACAAGTGAAGCCTTCACATCCCCACTAGAAAGATGCCTGCCATTGAAAAGACTGCCGCGGGCTCGCGCGAGTCTCCCCGCTGGTCCAGCGACGAAGTGACCGTCCTTTTCGTCCTTGGTGGCCCCGGTGCCGGAAAGGGTACGCAATGTACGAAGCTCGTCAGTGACTATGGCTTCAAGCATCTCTCTGCTGGTGATCTGCTGCGCGAAGAGCAGAACCGCGAGGGCAGCGAGTTCGGCGAGATGATCAAGACGTACATCAAGGAAGGCACTATTGTGCCCATGGAGGTCACCGTTCAGCTGTTGGAGAACGCAATGGAGGCCAGCATGGAGAGCGGAGAGAACCACGGAAAGCTGTTCCTGATTGATGGTATGATGACCCATGCAGCTACTTTCCAGTCCATGGTCTAACATGATAGGCTTCCCGCGCAAACTCGACCAGGCCCACGCTTTCGAGCGCTCCGTCTGCCCTTCCAAGTTCACCATCTTCTTCGAGTGCTCCGAAGCCGTCATGGAGAAGCGACTTCTCGTTCGCGGCGAGACATCGGGACGCGCTGACGACAACCTTGAGAGTATCAAGAAGCGCTTCAGGACATTCGTGGAGACAAGCATGCCCGTGGTCAATGAATTCGAGTCGCAGGATAGGGTTGTCAAGATCAACGCAGAGCAGGAGCCTGACCAGGTTTATCGGGACGTTGTGGAGAAGCTCAAGGAGCGTGGCGTGAAGCCCATCAACATCACCTTTGTGCAGACACAGGCTTCATAGTCTATAGGGAGACGCCCAAGAATCAATATATCTGAATTGCATTGTCTATCATGCAGCTCGAGGGCTGCTGTTCATGAACCTGAAAAGCCTCATAATGCATCCGTCCCAAGCCGACCCCTTTTGAAAGAAAGAAACGCGCACCAAGACGACGTAACCACTTAGTCCATATCGTCATCAATGGCTCTCTGCTGCTTCCTCTGTCCACCCCTTCCGCCGAACCGCGACGCCATATCGGCCTTCTGGTCGGCCTTGTTTGCTTCTTCCTCCTTCTCCTGCGCGAACCTCTGCTTCTCCTGCTGGATGACCTGCAGAACACCCTGCAGACTGTTTCGCCACAAATCTAACCTTGAGGCAACCTCTCTCCACTGGTTGTCGCCAAAGACGCGGTATGTTGAGCGGTGGATCAAGAAGGTCTGGTTGAGCTGGCTGAGCTTGCCCTCGACGAGACCAGCGCGGATCACGTCAATGACCCACATCTCGACATCTTCGGATGGTACTTGTAGTGCCTTTGCGATCCTTTCGTAAGGTAGCGACCTGGCTTGACCCGCTGAAGCAGCCATGGACGCAAGGGTGAGGAGGCGCATCTTGCGGTTCAAGGCACCGGCGTCAAGGCCAGACTCCTCAACCCAGCCATCGTGCTCGTCCTTGAAGTCGTTGTAGTCATCCAGGAGATCAGAGTTGAAGATTTCAAGGAGCTGGAAGTATATGGGGTCGGAGTTACGGAGGGCCTGGATCGAGTCGAGATCGGTGAGATCTTGGAAATCGAAGTGGGTCGGGTGTGTGAGGGCCGACTTGAGGGCGCGAAGAGAGAGCTCGCGAGCCTCTGGGGACGAAGCCTGCTCTGAAGGGAATGTCCTGAGTGCGCGTAGCAGATATGTGTATGCCTGCTCCTCTTCGCCTGCGTCCGATGCGACGTCGCTTACAGCAAGGTAGAGCTTGCGCGAATCCTCCTCCCCGGTCTTCCATGCGGCTATCCAGCTGTCGAGCTGCTTGAGTTGTGGTCGCAGTGTCTCGAAGTTTGATGTGGCGCGAATGACACGGAGAATGGCAAGGAGCACGTGGTAGCGCGTCTCGCTGTCGGGCTGGGTGGTGTTGAAGATGGTGCTGAGGATGGAGAGCGCAAGACCACCACCGTTCAGAGGCGACGAGGAGATGGGCGTGCTCAGGTTCTGGCACATCTTGGGGATGAAGATGGAGACATTTGGCGACTGGTTTACGAGGTGGATGAGCAGGTTGTAGGCCGCAATAAACTCTGCGCACTCATTGTTAGCCCGGTGTTTTCTCCATCAGAAGGACCCCTCGAGTCATTGCTAGAGCCGTACCCTTCTCGGGCGCCTGGTTCAGCGCCTGGCTGCCAACGACGAGCTTCTTGAGCACATCGTCCTTCTTGTTCTCCTTGAGCAGGTCCGCGCTCTCGCCCTGGAGGTTGGCGCTCTCATCGCCCTGGGATTTTTTGAGGCTGTCGATGTATTGTGCGAACTCGTCGGTAAGCTCCTCGAAGGTGCCCTCGATGAGCAGCGTGGTCTTGGCGCCCGGCATGGTGAGAATAGCAGAGACTGGTATCGGGGCAGTGTGTAGGCGGCGGGCGCAGGGGCGGGGCTGGTGGATTGTCGACAATGGGAGCGGCGTTGGTGGGATGCCAAGATTGGAGTTGGATTTTTGGGAAGTCGCTATCGATAGCCGCACAGACAAACAACACCAACAGCCAGAACCACTTGCTGCCTTGGACCATGTCACCTTACTTGAGTTTACTGTGTACAATTTCAAATCCTTGGAAGCCTCACAAAGTTCAGTTCAATACCGGTTAGCGTCCTCAGGGAAGCAGTGCCGTGTCCTGAACCGTGTCATCATCAAAGCCCGGCCGCTCGAAGGAAAGCACTTACCATCATACAACGCAATCTCATACACACCACCTTCAGCTTCCGGGTGCACAGCTACGAAAGACCTTTCCATTAGCGCACTTCCATCTCTAACATCAAGGACGTTGTTATCCAAGATGAAGACCCCCCACTCTGCCAATTCTCCCTCAAGCACGTCGGTCGAACCCGGACGCAGTACATCGCTCATGTATAGGAGTTCGCTAGACTGATTCCGACTATGCAACACCACCTGTCGATCCCCATCCTCGGTCGCATGAAGCTCCCACGTGTTCGTTGCATTGTACTTCACGAGATAGAAGCTACTAGCGGCATCCTGGTTGTCGCTGAGCACGTAGGTGCGTATGTCCAAAGAACTGACTGGCAGAGACACCCATTGGCTGTCCAGGGACGGATCGTCGCTGTGTGCGATAGTCAGCGACCCAATATAGAAGATTTCAAAGGACTAGACGTACGATGAGGACCGCAGCTGATATAACTGGGTACCCGGAGCTGGGACATCAAGTTGGGCTCGTCTATCATGTGACCACGCCAAAGCCATGTCAGACAAGCCTATAGCAAGAGCGAGGAAGGACTTCATCCCAAGATCCAGCACTGGAAAATTGCTTGTGACGGATAGAAAGACACTCAAGTCAAGTGCCGGTAACACGTATGTATAGTTTGCGGGGGCGACAGGGGTCGGAATGAAGGCCCCTTCAGCCTGCAACCCATCAGATTCGCTTAGATTCAAGCCTCATCTATAAACATCCTGCCTTTCTAAATTTCTCTTGGCCTGTACTCAACATGTTGCAGAGCACCCGCATGTCGATAGCATGGCTGTAGTGGAGGGGCCAGACCACAGCATGTCGCAGTGGGGCCTTTATGATGTTGTTCGTCGACTGCTCTCAGAAAATCACCATCTTCTGAGACGCTGATATCTATCACTCCTACTCAAAACGTGTCAAAATGAAGTTCACGACAATTGCATCTTTGTTGGTTCTCGCTGCGTCGGCCATCGCGCAGACCACGCCCTCGGGCTTCACTCCTGCCACCAATGCAACGCTGGATGTCTACTACGGGACTCAGTACATCAGTCCCAGTCTCATCGTCAAGAAATCAAGTATGACCCCAATATGCGAAGAAGAATATGCCATACTGATGTAAAATAGGCACGGCAAAGGCTCCTGTCATTGGCCTCACCAACACAACACTCAGCGGAAAGTATCTGCTTGCAATGATCGGTAGTTCCCCTTCTCATTATCAAAAACGCATCACACTGACACTGCTCAGACATCGATGTCACCCAAAACGGCCGTGCATCAACCGTCCTGCATGCCCTTCTGCAGGATTACACGCCCTCCGGCACCAAGCAGAACGGCACATCGGTCCTCACTACGACAGCCACAACACCTTCGTCGTACTTTGGTCCTGCGCCACCCGCTGGCGCGCCTCCAACTCATCGTTACGTATTCTTGCTGCATGAGCAGCCGGCAAACTTCGCGGTCCCGGCTGCGCATCAACAGGCTGTTAGCAGCCGGTTCGGCATTGACTGGCCAAAGTTCATTGTGGATGCTGGGCTCAAAGCCCCGATTGCTGGAAACTACTTGCAGGTGAAGAGTGGAGATAACACGAAGAGGTGGGAAGCGTAGGGAGAAGCTTGTCCTTCTATCTCGAAGCGCAACATATCCCATACAAAATGCACCTCCGCGTTCAATAGTCTGCAAATGCAACTCCAAATCCCCA